GTAGGACTGAATTTTTAAAATGGCCCACTTACCCCTCCTCACAAAACTATAAAATCATTCACTCTCTTCCTTATATCCAGTGCCAATTTTTTGTTAATTTCTTTTATCTGCAAGACAGAGTTGCRTTATTGGCAAAATTGTAACCCTTGTGCTTTTAATATAGAGCAAAGTAAAACAAAACCACAACTAAGTATAATTTAGGATGCATGTAATAGAAAAATGTCTTAGTCCCCTAAATTGCATTAGGAAACAGAACTCTTTCTAATGTTTTCTCTTCTTTTGCTTTCAGATTTATCTGTAAGTTGCAGATGAATGTTATTATTGATTCATTCTTCAGTGTCAAACAAGCATTGTGGCCAAAGGGAGTAGGAGGATTTTTGTGAGATGTGAAAGGAAAGATGCTGTATTGTTTTTCTTCATGTTTGTCAGCCCAATCATGTTCTTCCAAAAAGAGGTTAAAAAAGAGGAAGTCCCTTCTGGATCAGTAGTAGTTCTAAGATTAATGGAGTTAGAGTTGAAGTTTTTGTCAGATATTTTAATGTTCTTACTCTTGAAGTCTTGGAGTTAATGGAATTTTAAATTAACACCAGAGAATATCAATTTTTATGAAATATATCACTGGATATATGCATAAATATGGCATTATCTTATTTCCTCCTGTTAGAAAATGTGGTAATAGCTAATTTTAATCTTTAAAAGCAACCTTGAGCTTTTCTTGACTGGTTTAAATCTCCAATTACCCACTTACGAGTGCATGTARCATCTCCTGAGCAGTACCTATTCTCTGATTATAAGTTAACTATTAACTTTCTTCTGATTATTAGGAAATGATCTGTAGTTTGGCCGGTGTCAGAAAGAACCAAACTCCGGGCTTTAGYAGCAGTGTGTGGTCTTGCATTCTGAACTCCCTGTAGATAGCTCCCATTTTTCCTCAACAAGAAAGCACTTAAGTTAATTGCACCATTTCAAAGACATAGTAGCTCTTTCTGGTCTCTAAGTAGCCTTCCACGCATAGCTGCTGGGGTTTGGAACACCTGCAGCCCAAGCAATTTGGGAAAAAAAAAAAAAACAACCATTAGTCTGCATGGAGGAAAAAAAATGAAGYGCTGAAGTTCAAAATATTATCAATGATGCTGTGTTGGAGCAGCCTGAAAGATTTGGCTTTTGGTCTATGGCTGGTGCTATCCAAAACAACATATAAAATTCTTTGTGGAGCTATTTTAAGAGTGTCTTGTTCATTCAGAAGGCCCTGTGTGCGCTGTTTATTCCCAGGGCAGAGGCACCAGCCAACAGCTGATTCCTCCTCAGAGGGAAACATCGCCTAATGGCCATGGCAGGAGCCAAAGACCAGGGGGGACAAAGTGCTAAAGATAAACAGCTCAATCCCCGACTGTTCAAAGGCCTCAATAAACCCTCTGATTTACACATTCGGGGCGGGACACTGCTGTCCCCACCTGCAGGCTGGCCCTGGCGTGGAGAGGTGCTGGTGTGTGTGACCCTCTGTGCCCCCCAGGGATAAAACATTGATTTTCTGCTGCCCCAATCCCAAACCTTCTTTGCAGCTTTGCTTTGTTATAACTGTTGCAAGGAAGGAAGGAAGGAAGAGCAGACTGCTCTCGTTTTATGGAGGTGGTGAATGCAAAGAGCCCACAGAGGCTGGATGTTGAGGGTGCTGCTCTTCTCTTATGGACTCAGAGGAGCTTTTTAGGTTGCCATAATGAGAGTCTGATCCCAGTAATTTGGGTAGCAATAAAAATATAGCCTCCTTCTGCGCAATGATTTTATTTAATTTTTTTACAAGCTTCACCAGCAGCGGGAATGTTAAATAGTGACACTCCAAAAATTCAGGGGGCTGTTTTAATCTTTCTGAACATTAACGCACTTCCTACCTTTCCACCCCAAAGATTTGAAAGTGATTGAGGTTTCGCCTCTCCTTTGTATTTGTGGCTTGCTTTCATAATGAAATTTTGACTTGTGGAAGTATTTGATCTGTGAAGGGTCACATAGGCTTGACACGTTTAAAGCTGGTGSCGTGGTGAATTTGGTGAGCAGGTGGGTGTATTGGGGTCGATTAGTTATGAGGAGAGTGTTTTATTTCAGCTCTTAAAGTACAGAGCAGTACATCTTATTTTGGAAATRCAGTGCTGTACATCTGTTGATAAGATTTGCCTTTAGAGTGAATGAAATGAATGCAGCCACCATAAAGTAAATGAATAAGGAATATGCCCTAATTTATTTTGTCTGTATTTATTAATATTTACATGTCTGTATTTTTCATTTCTTTAGTGGTAACTGCTTTTTGCTAAATAGGCAGGTAACTCCTTTGCTATTTTTTTGCTGTATTCATGTTGAACTGTTTGTAGTTTATCCATTTACTCAACAGTTCACTAAACTCTGTGACAGAGTTRTGTTCTTAGGACATAAAAAGGATAAGGGGAAAAAGGATTTTGATTTTTGTTGTTGTAATTGTTTTGTTTGCTAATGGAAAAGCAGTAAGGTGCAATATTACTGTTTGCAGTGATGTTTTTATGTGCTGTGTAGGTCAGACTAATTTTATGAAGGAGGCTTTTTGCTCYTCTTGAAGAGAAGTGCATAATAGGCACTGTACACAGCCGGGAGTCCTTGAGCTTTTGCTGATGGGTTGGAGCAGCTGAGTGCTTGGAGATTGAGTCTGGCTGAGCTCTGCTTAGTGAGGCAGCTTCTGAACACGGAGTAATAAGTAATATGCTCCTTTCAAAAGGTCAGCGWGCACCGTGGAGGAGATGAAAGCTGGGAGAGAGAAGTGTCTTCATTTTGTGCTCTGYTGGAAAATGCTTTCTTTCAGACATGCACAATAAAAATTGGAAAAGCAGGAAAATTTGATTTGGCATTTGTTTGGAAGTTCAGGATATTATTCTGGGTTGCATCTCCTGATTCTGTCTGGGTTTTACCACAGGTGTACAAAGAATGTTTGTTTAAATAGAACCTGCATTTTTAGCTGAGCCAAATCATTGGTGAGGAATACTAATTTATGTGTGCATGGGAAACCAGTATCACTGTGTCAAATTAATTTAATCTCAGGCCTCAGAGAGATTTTTAGTGCATTTTTAAATAAATAAATAGGTTTCTTTCCTGTGTAACTCTTGACCTGCCTTTTTCTGCCTGAGGACTGACTGACACTTCATTCCCTTTATCATTATATAAATAGAAAATGTAASTCTCTTGCTTTGTTTTCTATTATAAACAGTGTGTGTGAGTAAGAAATCCTCTAGTGTGGGGATTTTTCACTGAATGATGCTCTATCTTGTGATAAGAATCACATAAAACAAGCAAAACCTTCCCACTGAACTGCATATATATGTGTGCAGTCTGTCAGGGCTGTCTGCTGCTGTTTTACAGTCTTTAAGTGAACTATTTTTTAAAAACATTGACTTTCAGAGGAGGACTTCTATGAAAATATTTCACAAGGGGCCGTATTTTTTTGTAATTAACAGGAAGCAAAAGGGAAATCTGGCTAGCAAAGGAGAGAGTGAGTTCATGYTTGTGTGTTTGAGCATGCATTATTTGTGTTTCCTGCCCTGTGGTCTTYACTCACCCATGTCCAGGCAGTTAGTGCCCTACAAATCTTTAAAATGCCTTTATTTCTGGAGTCACCAATTGCCAAGGAATTTTTTCAGCTGTCCACTCCCAAATATTTTTTTTTCTTCTTGCTTATGGGTACAGAGACAAACTGTGGATTTTCTGAAATCCACAGAAATTGGCCAGCTGGTTTGTGATGGAAATACAATTTATTTTTTTAAACTCAGATTAATTTTTCAATATTTTTTGGGTAACTTTTTAGTTTCTGGTGCTCTTTCAGGGAATAGARAGGTTGAGTATGGCATCTGTAATAGGAAACACAGTGGTGGTTTAGGAATGTAAATACCAAAGCTTTATGCTTGAAAACCAACTCTGAAATTCACATATTTTGCTGCTTTTGAATTCTGTGCACTTGTCTGGGCAAGGGAGAAGCATTTAGAAGTGTTGGGTGCAGGGTTGAGCAAGGGTGGGGCACAGTTCACTCAACTGCAGTTAAAACTGCTCCTCCTAACCAAATGAAAATGCTGCTCCAACCTGAAAATGCCAAATTTTGGGGAACCCAGAGGTAGTTAAATCTATGTCTACAATTGGTTCTCAATGTCCACAAGCAAAGAAAGAGCTTCCCTCTGCTCCTGCTTGGAGCACAGRGTCCCTTCAGGGCCTGAAATAATCCTGATCATGATTATTTAGTGCTGCACTTTGGATGGAGACCTTGATAGAGCCTTTAATCCCTGCCCAAGCATCATTGTGCTTAAATACCTCATCTGGGTTTTTCCTCCTTCCACATCCTATTTTTAGTCTGTGAGTGAACATGTCACCCTTTTTTCAATCACTTCACTTAGGCTGTGTATAAATACATGGGATTCTTGAGAAGGTCTTAGGTCAAGCACAGGTTGCCTAATTGTTTAACTATAGAGCAAAAAGATTCACTGTAACATCATATATTTTGTTCTCTGTAGCATCCAGTGCTTAAAATATTTCCGTTGGGTTGCTGGCATTTGCTACACCCTCTGCTTTGCTGTGAAGCTTAGTAGCAGCTTTCATGTGGCAGTCTTCCAGATGAATATTGATTATTTTGAATTATGTTAAATGTTCTGTACTTTGGGTGAATAGCAGGCAGTGAGTTAAAAACAGAGCCATGGGGGAGAGCTTGTGGGTAGTAATTTCCTGCCCCCCAGATTCCTGACAGCTTCTTAATTTGGGACTATTCAAATACATGTAATTGTTGACACTGTTCTTTTAAACCTTACTTAGTGTAATAATCCAGTTTTCTGCTTGCAAATGCCACCAGTTTCCTGACAAACTGAATTTGGGGAGAAAAGCAGAATAAAACCACAAGTGTGCTTGTATTTGTATATCCCCCACACACATAACCCCAAGCTATGTAAAGTTGCTGAGCACCCCCATGGTTATAACAAGATTATCTTACTTTTTTTCAACAGGTGCTGGGAAGATGGAGAAGACTTTGAACAGARTCCATCCAGTTTCTGATCCTGAAGCAACCTATTTTCTACAGGTTTCATGGGAAAAGGATTTAGGCACCGGCTTTGGTATAATTCTTAGTGATTGTCAGTGTGCATGGACTGGGACAGGTAATAATGGAAAGAAAGTACATTAATTTAGTTTATCACTGCTCTTTATTGCTCCTTTTAAAATACTTTCTAATCTCTGTTATAAAAATCATACTRTGGGCATTATGTTCCCAGTGATGGAGGAGATGGGGTTCATGATGTTCTGGGAAGATCAGAGAACTTTAAAATCAGGAGAGATAGTGTGTCAAAGCTGCAGTGAATTCATTTAGCACATGGATATGCAATATTTTGTTCTTTCTCAAGAATATRTAATTTCTTGGAGTGATGCTGAAGTAACACTTCTGCGTCTTCTCCACATTCTTGAACAAATGTGTATACAAGTTCCATTCGCAGATTGGAGTCTGTGAAGCATTTCATTGCAGATGTTTTAAAAATGTTTTCCTAACATTTTAATAGCTAAAGGTAGCTGTATTTCGTAATGAGGTGAATTTTTGGGAAGGAGAAGGGACAATAAATTWTCAGTAGGAAAAGTTTAGCTTGTGGGATTTTCTTCACCACCCTGAAACCTCACTAAGAGGATGCGTCTTTGCCATATGTGTGTGCCTCTCTTATGCACTGCTAGCGAAAAAATGTTGGATTTGTGTGTTCCTTGAGAAATGTGTCAAATACTTGATCTAAAGCCCCTCTCTCAGTGGCAAAAATATTTCAAAGGGAGGAGAGAATGATGTATTTTACAACAAATTGTAGGCAAAGCCTTTTCTGGACTCTATCTGAAAAAGAAGAAATATCCATGTAGTTCCTTCCTTCCTTTCTTCTCCCTCCCAGCTCCTACATAAGCCAAGTGATGATATAAGTCTGAGATTAGATAAGTTCAACATATACATTAAATCTGCTCTTCCATATTCCTTTTAACATTTCAAACACTGCATTGATCAAGGGGTCCCTGCACAAAAGCAGATACATAGTTTTCAATCCTGATTCCATGTAGTAAAAGATTTTTCTTTCTTGGTTGAAAACAGCAAGGTCAAAGATCTTGAAAATGACAAAAAGGATGTTACCACTGATAAATACTGGTTTTTTTTGTCTTTGAGGGATCTTCTCCTTCTTAAGCAGCTTCAAAATCCCCAGTTCAGAATTCACAAACAAGATGATTCTTTTTTTCCCAGGTGAAGGCTATGTCACTATAGCTGGTAGTGTATAGAAAAATCAGGAAGACACAGTTCTCATTTTGTATCATCCTGCATCAGGCAGAATGGCAGATAGTGATTTCCCAAAAYGGGGCAGTGAAAGCAGGATGACCTCAGTCTATTAAAAAGGAAAAAAAGAAACCCACAACAGTTCAGCAACAACTGAAAAAAAAATTCACAACAACTCATCCAAAGGAGAGKTTTTTCTGTTTCTTCTGTGAGAATCTGATCCCTTTCTAAGAAACTCTTACTGAATTTCTAGTCCCTGGAAGAATTTCATTGGGAGTTGGTGTTCTTGTGGATGAGGCTTTCCTACTGCTCTGATCTGTGTTTTCACACAACAAGACTTTGATTTTGGTCATCTTCTAAAGTTATTGCATCATGTTTGAAACTGCTGAGATTCTAAATTCAAAACCTGGAAGGAGGGAAAGCAACGGTCAGAATATTCTTGCTGTGGGAAATCCCTTTTGGTTTTCTCATGCTGTGGATTATTTTGCTTGGCAAGACCTACCAGGAAGGGACTGAGAGTTGCTGATGGAGTTGTCTTTTGTGGGTTTTGTGTGTTTAATGTGATGATGAAATGTGTTAGGAGTCCTGTTTAAGAAGAGAGGGAAAACAGTGAATGTTGGAGGGGAGGAGAAGCACACAAATATGCAATGTAATCTAGTACATTAGCTGGGTTAAAGTACTACATCTGTRAGGATTTATGCATTTCATATTTCCCTAATGATTGATCAGTTCTGTTAGTTTTATAACAGAAAGAAACATGCAGCAAATACAAGAAAAAAATCCCCCATAGTGCTCCATCACAGTATTATAGTGCCTTTCTTTTTCTAACATTCTCATTTTCATTAGAAGTTGATAAAAAATTTTCTCAGTATTGAAATCGCTGTTCTAGACAAACACTTCTTTGGTAAATATTTCAAACTTAACCTTTTTCTACCCCCTTTGCCCCATCTTTCAAGGGATTCCACATTTCTCTCTGTACTGTTTTGGGGGACTTTAGGCAACTAGAATTGCAGGTGAGTCTCAATAAAGCAGTAACCCATTTTCAGACAAGGAAAAGAAAAAGGGACAGAATTTAATATGTCTGAAAAACACAGTATTCCTGCTACATTTCCACTGGTGGAAATGGCACACTGATGTATGTCAAGGGAAGAATAGTCTCCTAATATTCTATAGAATCAGAGAATGCCTTGGTTTGGAAAGGAGACCTTAAAATTCATTGAGTCAGAGTATGTCTGTATGTACATATAATGCATAAATATATAAATATGTAAATATATGTTATGTATTTATATCAATATATTAAATTTATAAATGTATGTTTTTGTATGTTTTATATGCAATTTATTATACATATACTTGTTCACACACATTAGATTATTTATTTCTCACATGTTTTTCTCTGACAGTGTCTGAGGCAGACATTTCTAGGGAGGCTGCTGACATAGAAATGGACAGAGAAAAATACGTGGAAGAGCTGAGGAAAGCACTGATAGCTGCAGAAGAGTYGGCTGGAAAATATAACTTTGTGATTTCGAGAGATGAACAGAATAAGGCCTGTCACTTCTCCTATGAAAGGAACCTGAAAGATGGCTCTGTAAGTATATAAATGTTTAAGTTTGAGTGTTAATGATTGGGAATGAAATACACTTTTGTGTTTTATTAAGATCTTTAAAATCAGAGACACTTGTGATACTTATTCCAGATTGAATGGATGCTGTGACCTCGGCCGTGGACCAAGCTAAAAAACAAAGTGAGTGGTTTGGGAAGTGGACTGCCCTTTTGGAATTGTAGCCTCCTGTGGATTTCTGTTTTTCTTGTTTCTTCATTCTCTCTCTCCAATACTCACCTAAATTAGAAAAAAAAAAAAAATTTAGGCAAGATTATTTTCAGATGCCTAATTTTCTATTACTTTAGATATTTCAGGAGCTAAGGTTAAAATTTAATTGCAAATGGGAAAGTGGTTCCATACTGCTTGCTTGGCTGCAAAGGAAAGGAAAGGACTCTTAAAACAAGAAAGAAACCAGAATAATCTGTATCTGTAGAGACTTGTGGTTATTTCAGGTTGTGGTTTGGTGTTRAAACTTTTGTGAGTAAATTTCCTAGTTTCTCATCTTACTTACTAAAAAATTTTTACATGCCTTTTTGCTTGTGCAGTACAGGAAATTTCAGCCCAGTTTGGCTCCTGAGGAGCCAAGAATTAGGATGTGTAAGTCTACCAGTCTGTATTATCAGTATTTCTGTGAATTTGCCCAAGGCCACATTGACTATAAACACCTTTTTGACACTTGTGAGCTGTTTGGTTGTTCACAAAGAGGTTGGAAGTGCCATATTGCAAGGTTAGGACCAGATTGTGCTCAGAAATTGAGAGCAGTAAAGTTAAGAATCCTATTTTTTCTGCTCTRTGTCTCACATTTTCTAAATACAAGACAGATTAAATATATTAATTATATTTTGATTGAGTGAAAATATCTTCATATATGTTGGCTCATGTATACACTTTTCCATCATTCAAGGTTTAAGAGAAATCGAATTCATATGAAAACAGCCTTTATGTCAATTTGGGAAATAATAATCTGGCTAAAGAAGCTGAAAATACAAAGGACTTTGATAGATTAACTTTAGGTGTCAAAAAAATGTTTTTAGAAAAGATGGGATTTCTTGGGTGAAAATACGCCTTTTTTTTCTTCTGTACTAACCAATGCCTACAAATAAAATTTCCAAAGCAATAATGTAGAATTAAATAATAGAATTGGGTATTAGAAATAGCTTTCTGGTGCATAATAGAATATTTTGCAAACGCTCTGTGGAAGTGTTTGTGATCTATCTCCTTCAGCATCACGTTAGGAAATTAATCTTCCTGTGCTCTGTACATCCAGAGGGCTGATATTCAGCTAAAAGTAAATTTACCACATAGAAAGCCTAGAAAAACTAMTCTGTAGCTTAAACACAACTTGAATTCAGTGTTTATCTCTTATCTGTCTTTGTTTTTCTTAGTGAGTGTTTGTCTTTACATTTTTTATGTAGTAGTTTTGARTATTCTCTCTTTCTCCTCTCATATTTCAGCAACTGTTTAGATAAAGAAATAATAACTTCCTAGTTCTTGGGAAGAGTTTTGCAGGGCCAGAATGAGCAAATTCTATGAAACTACCAGGAATAAATAGGAGATTTCTGTTCTTAAACTAATGTTTTCGTCACTTGATAGAGAAGGAAAGATTAGAGGAAAGCATGCATGAGGATGTAGTTGGCTGTTTTTGCATATTGAATGTTCAGCTCAGTGTTTAATAATTTTTTTAGTAAAAAAATGCAAAAACTTTTGCAATTGTTACACTTTGAACTAGAAAATGCTTATCAATTTATGTACGTGATTGTTACTGCAAAATCTTTTCATGAAATTTGTACACAGGTACCTAAGAGTAAGTTTTGTAGTCTTAGAAAATCAATATGCCTTGCCTTTTTCATTAGAATTATGCTTATTTACACAGACTTGGTTATTTTAATTATTTTTGATGGAACCTGCCTAGAAAATGATGCTGATGACCAGCAGTCACCTATGCCCATCCCTTGCAGTGATTTCCAGGGCTGAGCTCTGTCACAGTTCTCCATCCCATGTGGGACTAGTGATTGGGAATAGTCCCTTAATGATGATAAAATGAGCTGGACACTCACTTTTTATTTCCATGGCTCTACCAAATGGTGATACTTGAAATAATTTTTACCTTCTTTGCAGCATCTTGCTAAAGCTCTGCTTCCATAAAATATAAGTATGTGCCAAAACTGTGTTGGCTTGCAAATAAAAATAACGGGATGATGTTAAGCAAACAAAAACAAAGGCGTATTATTGGAAAATATTTTCTGATATGGAAATTTTTACTGCCCAGGTGTTTTCTGGAGGAAGAAGTGGCAGGCTTTTTCGCCCCTCACTTTAAAAGGGACTGGAGAGAGGAATGGGAAATTCATTGTAATGGCTACACTTGATGACTTAAGGGGTTTGATTTACCTGTTTTCTTTAATGAACAGAGAGGTTCCTTCCATGAACTACCTAGATGTTCAAAAGTGCATGCTTGCACCTCTTCCTACACTGATTCAGTGGCATGAAACCAATCCTGAATCTCCAAATCATTTAGAAAGTGTTTATTGTAATAGTGTGTGATAATAATAGTAATGAGATGTATGTGTGATGTTAATGTAAYGAATGAGTGATGATATGAATTGKTTTTTTTTTTTGAGTGGACAGAAARCTAGCCCAAACCACRAAGAATTCCTGTGTGATTTAGAGGAAGCACAGTGTAACGTGTTTATTTTGTAGTGTCCTGATTGCCTGTAATGTTTACAACTACCAGGATAAGAAAAATAATCTAACTTAAGGGGCATCCATAAGGGTTTTAGTACTTCCTCACTTATCTTTTTGAAATGTTGGTCGGGAGAGATAAGACAGTGTCTGAGCTGTAGCAACGCCGATCCTGGCTGTGCCTTGAAAAATCCCGATGGGTTTGGTGTAAATCCCGATGGGTTTGGTGAAAATCCCGATGGGTTTGGTGCAAATCCCGATGGGTTTGGTGTAAATCCCACTGCGTTTGGTGCAAATCCCGATGCGTTTTGTGAGAATCCCGACGCGCTGGGTGAAAATCCAGGCGCTTTTGTGATTTATCTCCCTCAGGACAGGTGGCCATGCCTTTGGGAACCATTCCTGGGGTTCTGGGGCTGCTCGGAGGGGACCCTGCAATAACAATGTCTGYGGAGTACAGTGGGAATTGTGTGCGGATCCAGCTGCAGCCCCGGACGGGCCACACACACGGAGACCCCAAGAGGGGCCGGGGAGGGCTGGTCCTGCTCAACTGCTGCCACCTAAACAAACACCAGCCACAGAGGCAGTGATTTAGCGCTTGATCTAAGTAGGTGACCACGGGGAAGTAAATCTTTCCAAGTGCTTCAGCGAGTCACTCCACGTATAATAAATAATGGAAATCCGGCAAGCTCTTTCTCTTGTTGGAAGGGGGGGGAGGGGAGGGGCTGGCAATTAAATAGACTAAATAGGCTTTGATAAACAATTATTTGAGTGCTGGCAGTCTCTTTTTTTACAGTAAATGTGACAGGCTCTGGGGTCTTTTTTTTTTCCTTGCTTAAGTTTGTTAATAGGGAGGGTAAGAGCTTAACAAATCCTACCTTAGATGCAGTACTGTTGCTAATTAGGATGATGGAAGAGATGCTGTTATTTGTCTCCCCCATTTCCTGTGGCTGCTTTTCCCTGGTCGGGCCTGCGAGTTCATTATAAGTTTACTAAAAGTTRAAAAAAGGCTGGGGAAGCTAACCAAAAACTTTTCACTGCATACTGAATGAAGAGAAATGGAGTTGGTAGAGCTCTTTGTGCTGTCCTAACTGGCTTGGTTCAAGGTCTGAATTGTTACTTCGCTCCAAACCACTGAGGATGTRTTGTTTGGTTAGCAAAGGTCACTGAGAGTTCAGGTTGTTTCCCAGGCRATTCCACCAGCTGAGGAGAGAGGCAGATGAAATGATTAATCCTCAGGTCAGTGTGAAAGTAATGACTCTCCTATCACTTATATCACTTAATGTCWATGTGCTCCAGGACTTGAGAGTGGACACTTGAATGGGTTCCTTGGAAGCCCATTTTAGAAATAGCTGGGTTCTAATATGCCTTATATAATAAAAACATTAAGTGTTATCTTGTAAGTAATCTCAGAATTCTGAGTGCCACATGATTTTCCCCATCTTGAGTGCACCTTCAGGTCTTTCAGGTACTCTGGAAAAAGAAATGCAGTGGATCGCTTCTGTAGCCTTGAGGTTAAAAAAAAAAAAAAACATTTTTTAAAGAATTACTGTATATTAGTAGGTGTACAATATTTGACAGAAGTCCTGGTGAATTAAAAATCAAGCTCTGCTCTGCTGATTTCCTTGCTTAGCTATTAGGTTATGTATTTGATTGCTACTTCTGATAATCAGTGCTCTGGAGAAATTGATTTAACGTACTGGTAATTTATACAGTTTATATTATTGAAAAAGGAAGACTCAAACACTGTGGTGAATGAATTCTCTTCAGTTTCTTTCAACCTGTTAGAGCTGTGTATTTCACTGGACCTATCCAGTTGAACAAAAATGGTAGTTTAAYTGCTTTAAGGCCTACTGTAAATTTCACCATAAAGAGCATTTTCTTATTTCCTGAGTGCAGTGAGAGTCTTGAGTACACGTCAAGTGTCCATAAAATAACAGATTTTATTTTGATTTGTGCAGAAAATATTGTCAGTTATCCTTTCTCCCTCCTGGTGTTATTGTGTTGTCTCCCCTCCTTTCCTTCCYATTCCTTCAGATTTTCCCGTTTTGGAATACCTGCTGTGCATTTCAAATCCCTGTGTGGGCATCAAGGCTTGCTTTCGTTTGCAGAACACAGTGCAAATGCTTTCCTTTCAGGAGGAAAAAATCTTTAAATCATGGCATATTGACAAGCCTTAGTTTCCCAAACACAAATTGCAGAGGACAGTAGATGTTCTGGAAAAGAGATTACTGTGTGTGGGCTCTAAAGCTTCACTGCACGCCTTGTATTTTCTGTGAGGATGAACAGCAGCCAGAGCCTGAAAACCA